ATGATTTGTATTGTTGCTGGATTTTACTTTGGACTAGTATTTGAATCTTTTTTTGAATGGATAAGCTTTTTTGTTTGTTGCATGAAAGATATATTTGTGCTATCCATGTTTTGCCCTTTTTGCTCTAGAGGTTGACAGCTACCAGATAACCATCAAGTCTATCTATACTGTTATCACTACCGACAAGTCTGTCGCTAACCTGGGGCTGGACCTCGCCTTATGATAGGATAGACTTGTTAGGCCCTTACTTGACACTTGGATACTGCAACCTTGTCTTATGGCATCCTTAATTATTTTTACCCTAACTTGATCCTAGGTCCTGTCGATCTACTATACGATTGATGATCTGCAGACAAGAAAGGTAAGTTTGTAATTAAACTGTTATGTGAAGTTACAAGTTTTAGTATTTCAATTAAGCAGGGACTTCTTTATTAAGCAGTTCACCATTATTACATTTCGATTTTATTTTATAGCTATTTATATTGCTTGCGACGTGTCCCCAAATCAATCGTCGCGTCCTGCAAGTTTTACAACAAGCTTTCTCATACTTTTAGCCCTCCACTGATACATAATCTGATGCATTTGATCCTGCGCCGCGCCAGACCTGGTACCCAACCCTATACCCTTATCCCCCATTCTGTTATCCCTCTTTCCTACCCATGTAATTATTATGCTAACAATACAAATGATATTTCTTTTTTTTTTTTTTTAAAGTGGAACGTGTGTATGGCATGTGATCTTTATTGATACATTTAATATCCAGACAAACACCAAGTGTCTCTACAAACTAATCAGAAATTGGTTGGTACATGAATACTCTTTATGTCTCTACAGTTAATCTGCAGTTTAACACTATCTAGTATCTATTTTACTATAAGACTAGCTATGCTAACCACTTTTTTTACCTAACTATATGTTCAACATCAAGTAGATGTGTCTACACATTAGGTGAGACTTTCGCAGGGGGGGAATCCTACCACTAATTTAAACCTGCCTAAACCTACTGGTCCATTATTGCAGAGAGCAGTGTATATGGAATATTAATTATAGAGATTAACCCCAGTTATTCCAATCACCTGTTATTACTGATCCTTGGGATGTGCCACTAGCATAGCACAACACTACCATTTTCACCACCTGTGGAACTGGCGTCTTTGCTTGGATTCCAATTTAATCTTGTAGATCCTCACTAGACTCACTTGGCTTAACGATTTTTGTCTAGTCTTCTCAGCACCTGTGGCTGATACCTTGCCCTTCGGCCATATGATTAAGTTTCATGGAACACCACCATTGAAATAGATCTACAAGCTCCAGATTTGGATAGATCAGCTTAGAATTAACCTTTTTATGTTGTGAGACAGAGTCTGCCGTTGCCAGTTTGGGTTGAAGTTTGTGGGCTTATTACCGGAGTTAGACCAGAAGCCTTTCCTCGTGCAACCTTTCTTGCTTCGACCTATTTTCAGCCCGCGATTGTCGGGAAGACCAGAGGTCTCATTTTTATACAGCTTAACTAAATTTGGAAATGGATTTTGTCAACTGATTGGGTATGACATGAATTGGAAGCCGGTCAACCAATCATGAAGGTGATAAATTTTTGTAACCAGGTGGGGTTGAACCCTAGACCTTCACCTGATGACCTATAGAGCTTTACCACTGAGCTATAGACCCATAGGTCTGATCATATTCATTTTATTAAAAAATTTTTTTTTATATTAATTTTAAGAAAAAAATGTTTTATATTTTTTATTGCAAGTAAGCCTTAGCTCAAGAACTTAAGAACCTTCAAGACAACTGGTGCAGTGGGATGGAATCTCTGGTCAAAATCTATTCAAGTTTGGGAGTCTTGCTTATCCTTCGGTTGCATGAGAAAAAGCCTATGACAGTTCTCTTCTCTTTTGTTTTCTTGCATCTCTTCTTCTTTCTATTATATCATAAAAACTATCCATATCAATACCATTATACTCACTAAACCAAACACCTTCCAAAAAACACACTCAAACAATATTGTTAGATCTATTGTTTGTTTTAACACAATCTTCACATATAACTTTATCATGATGCTACTTACTGTGTTATTTCAAAATCTTCAAAAAATTTTTTCCAAAAAACTAAAATCAGTTTACCTTCTCCAAATAATCGTTGCTCTCTAATTATCCAATTAGATTTCATTAAAACAACAAAGAAAAAACTGAACCTGTTTAAACCAGTTTTTCAATACCACAACAATAACAACAACTATTACAACAATAAATAATATCAACTATACTCTATTATTCATGTCAACAAGAGTCATATCTCTAAGACTAGTACCAGTGCAAGAACCAGACTATTGACTATATTTTAGATATTCTTTTTGTTTATATAGATTTTATAGTTTAAGTATTTTAGTTTTAGTTTCAGTAGCCATAGTTGTTATTTTCTTTTTATTTATTTTATATTCAAAAAATCAAAAGATTTTATAAAATTTTATCAAGTAGGTAGATATAGCTACTACTCCACTATTTGATATTTTAATATTGCTTTTGAAATTTTTTACAATATTAGTTAGATAGAGATTAAGTAGGTAAGCTAGCATTTAACTTGTTATATGCAATATATACTCAAGAAATGTTGTTTCTTTCTCAATGTATATATAATCAGTATATAATAACAAATAAAGAAATGATATTTACCTGTTGGAAAAAACCCTCCAAAAAAATAAAATAAAAATATTAAACTTTTTATATATATTATTCAATTTTTAAACAGTTATAGTACTATATAGTTTTATAAATTCAAACAAATTTAAAATCCAACTAATTATTTTCAAATAAAAAATAAGCTACAATTATAATTTTATAAATTTAAACAGTATATGTATTTAAAATTTAATAATAAAAATTATTATTATCTTTTTTTTTAACTTAATTGTTTATAAATAGATATAAACTATTTATAAACTATTTTAATATAATATTATCTTTTAAATATAATATTATATTAAAAGTTATAATAAAATAATAATATAAATAATATATATATTTTATAATATTATGTTTTAATTTAATTATATTATATTAGCTTATAATAATTAATATGTAATATTTTGATAATATAACATATCATTAGAAATTAGAATTCTATCATATATGTGTTTAATAATTATTTGAAAATATGTTTCAGATTTGTAAATTATTAAGAATAAATTAGATATCTTCCAAGATATTTAGGTTATTAGATATAGTATAGATTCTGTGATACAGTTATAAATCAAAATTAAAAATTTTTAAATAAATATATTTATTTATTATAAAATTTTTTTTAAAAAAACAATTAATTTAGTTTATATTAAAATTTTTAATAATATTATTTTAATATCAAATCAATATCAAATTTAATATTATTTTGGTATTATATTAATATCAATTTAAAATATCAATTTCAATTTATTATAATTAAACCGAATATATACATATTTCAAATAATTTTTATTTATATATCAAGTATTATTTTATATGATTTTAATTTTTTTTTGTTTAAATAAACTTATTAAAATAATTATTTATAGCTATCTATTATATAATTTGTTATTATTATTCAAATATTATTATTATTATTTGTAATTCTTATAAATTATTTCTTCTAATATTTATATATTATAAACAATAGATTAAATAAGTATTATCTATAATTTTTATAAATTATTTTTTATAATATAAAAATATCAGAAAGTATTGGATTAATAATAATATAATGAGAAAATAACTAATATATTATATTTTATATTTTCAGTTTTAATAATAATATTAATAAATTGAAACTAAAAAATGATTATAAAATTGTTAGCTATAATATAATATATAAAAAGTTTACTTGTTTTATTAAGATCTTTAAAAAAAATTTTTTTTATAATTTTATAAATTAAAAAAAAAAATAATAATAAATATATTAATATATTAAAAAAAAATTATTTAATATTATTAAACTTTTTATAAAACAAATAATTAATTAAAGCTTATATAAAAAAAAATTAATTAAAATTTAAATTAAAAAAATTTTTTTAATCAAATATACTATATACAGTATATAATATATAATTTTATTAAATAATTAAACTTAAATTATTATATTTGTAATTCTTATAACTATTATTTTTATATTTAATATAATGTATACATGTAATTTGATATAATTAATTTATAATATAAGAATGTAAAATTAATTTGATAATACATATATACTAAATAAATAGTTAATTTATAAAATAAAAATTTATAAAAGGACAAAAATCCATATAATTGATAGTAAGATTTTTAATTATATTATTATATATAAAATAGTTGTTTTGTCAAGTTAATTAAAAACAAACCTGTGTTTTCAAATTTGTTAATTTGAATAATAATTGAATTAACAATTTAATTAAAAACGTTTTCTATAAAATTGGTTTACTGATATAATCTTTGTTTCAATTTTATAATTATTATAAAATCAGAAGTTACATCTTTATACAATTTAATTGGTTTTGAATATTAAATTAATCAATTAGATATAATATAAATTTAAAATTAATTAATTCATTATAAAAATAACAAGTATTTGTAACCAGATAAATTTGAATCTTAGATATTTTTTTTAACAACTTATGGAACATGGCCACTATACCATAGATCCATAGATCAATTAAATTTATGATAAATTATTATACAGTATATAGTAAATAAAATATAGTACTTATTTTTTATTATTATAATATGAAGTATCTGTAATGATGTAATAACTTTCCTAAAGATATAATAAATTAATATGTCAAATAATATTTTATTATTATTTTATTTAAATTTAAATGTAATTTTCAATTCATACGACGTTCATTTTAAAAATGATTTGATTTTGTATTTTAGCATTAACTCAACAAATAGAGTTTTTGATTCTTGTAGAATTAAAATATCCACAATCTTTTCTAGCAACATTAGATTAGCAAATCAAACATGATTGGCACATAAATCTATTTCTAAATAATCCTAAAATTCTCTTGGTTGATCTCGGCCGGTTATGCTGATATCATTCGTAGTCAACCCCATTTGGACTGAGGAAATTTTTTCCAATAACTTCTTGAAGGCATTCATAACAATATCCTCAGGTTTCATCGAACCAATAGTCTAAATATTTGGGGGATTAGATGTTTCAAATGATTTTTAAAGAATTAAACTAAGAATTGCTTACCTCAACTTCAAAGTAAAACCTATTGGGCTTCGCCGTAAAGTCAAATACTAAAAATATAGACTAAACTTAAGATATTTCTATAGACTCAAGTATACATGTTAATTTATTATTAAAAATATATTTGCCTTCATCTTCCCCTGGAGGGAAATCTTTCTCCGCATTTTTACTTGCTGGCCTAATGAATTTCAAAGAAATAAAATTTATCTGTAAAGACTTTTTTAGTTAACTTGATCATGATTGTTCATACCATTCTTTTTTTTCATCTTCTTCAATCCAATAATGAACGTGTCTGAGTTTATTAAATGGATCATACTCAAACGCAACGGCAGCACAAGGACTCCATTTGGCGTGCTCTTTTGCGACTCCCTAAAACACGATAACTCAGTTGAATAACTCTGGCACGTTGTGAAAGTGGTCAAATATGTGATCGCATCCAAATTTAACCTTCTTAGCTATACATTTCACTTTAATTTCTTGTCCCTTACGAAGTTTAGCTATTAGAATGCCAGGATCTTTTGGGCCTGAATGATGTAAAAGAAAAAAATCATAAGCATAAAAATACAAAGTTAAAAAGTAACATGTCTACGTACCATCTTGAATAGGCGTAAATCGTGGATCGTTACTAACGAGATCTCGACTAGTCACGTCTTTAGTAGTATCTTCTTCTGTACACCTTACATGTAAATTTAATTCAACACTGCATTCTTTACAAGCTCCTTGACAACTACATTCCTTTTAAATAGATATTGTCATTTAAGTTTTCTCATTTAAAATGGTTTACACGTCAATAATCTTAAATCCAAGAATTCACCAACTCTAGAATATTTAATTTTTTCAGCCTCCGTACTATCTAATGGTATCAAGCCCAGACGATGTGCAATGAATTCATCGGCTAACACAGAAGTGTTTAATTCAAATTCGACTATGTCAATCGCTGCGTTCCAGGAATAACATGATCAATAAAAATGATCAAAAATCATAATAATAGGTGTTATTCGTAAATCAATACCAATGGTAGCAACTTCCGATATCATTATTCGCCTGAGGGCATTGGCCATGCTGTGATTAATTAAAAGATATTAATACAATTAATTGCGCATAAACAAACCAAATCCAAACCAAAGTTTCGAATCACCTTAAATCTGTATTAGTGAGAATGAATTTTACCCTTTCTGAAGTAAGTTCATCTATTTTAATTTCTGGTTTTATGGCGCCGGTATAAGTATCCATGGTGGGTTCTATTGTAAATCAAAATACGTATGCGACTTGGAAAAAATGACCAGATTTAAGAAGTCGGATTTTGTGCATGCCTAAGTACTACCTCAAATTAGAAAAATTTACTTATTAGTAGTAACACTGGCGACGTGCCCGAGAGGTCCAAGGGGTCAGATTCAGGGTCTGATATGGAAACATGCGTGGGTTCGAACCCCACCGTCGTCAAAAATAACATTTTATTAAAACAATATGTGGCCGGTAGGGGATTTTATATGGTAATTGCGATAACTAACACCAATATTTGATTAGTTAATAATTCTATAGATTTTATTTATTAAAGCTTATCGGTATCGATTTATTATACTGTATATCGTTAATCGAATATTATGTTCAAGCAGGTTACGGTATTTATTTTC